GTCCTTCTTATACTATAAAAAAGAACAGACCTGAACCACAGTAATAGTACCACGTACCTGAACAGACTTTATGAGCTTAAAGTGTTTTTTGCACTCCTACAAGTTTTGTAGTAGCTGTAAGTTCTAGTAGTTAAGTAGAATTTCCTAATAAGCATATTACGTAGTACAAATTATTTCGATTAATTTAACTTGTATTTGTAATCGTCTTTATCTTATAATAAATGTTGTTTATGATGGTGAGCTAATTATTTTCGCTCTAGTTCCTAATTTCGTCGGTAAATTCGTGTTTGGTGTTTAGACAGGCCATGCATAACACCTTGAATTTTCTTTTTTATCATACCTTGATCGAAAGTTCGTATTTTGAACCTTCTTTCAGGGACGAAAGTGCCACATTGCATTGCTTCCCGATTCAATGACTTATTAATTTAGTACGCATGCGTCAAATTTCTTGGCTCTATCGTTTCCGAACGTTGAAAGTAGGTATAGGTATGTCATAATACATTTTTAGGTACATTAATTTCGATCAAGGTATGTTAAAAATAGTATACGCACAACGGGAGGAAAGTATTACATCGCAACCCGCGGTATTATCACACCATATCACGCGGGTTGCTATGTCATACTTTCCTTCCTAGTGGCGTATTACACTATTACGTCACTGGCAAAATCTGAATCTTGGCAATGCACTTGTATTGATGAAAACAGTCAAGTTTGGCCTTAAGAGATTGATCATATTCTCAGTTGTGTATTAAATTTAAATGACGTGCAAGGTCCAGCCAGATATGGCGCTCTTATCTTACGCCCTTATTCATAAAAAATTTTAAACGGTTGATTAGTTCATAATAATAGATATTTGTCTCATTCTAGTATTTGCGAGACAGTTGTTGCTAGAAAGTGACAAAACACTATTTAACTAATCAAGTGTTAAAAATGTTTATGAATAAGGGGGTTATTGTTTTGTGGAAGTATAAAGATGACACTACTCGTGAAATATCTTTGAATCACAAAAAAGGAAACTAATTTTAAATAAATTGTTCTTGAAATATGTAGAAATTCCGATCGGTTTTGAACTGTCGCCCGCTGTTCTTAACTCAAGTTCTCGTTCTCTTAAACTCGTGGGCCTAAGTTTTAATGGTAAGATATATGAGCATGTTTTACAGTTACAATAAAAAAAGTTAGAGAATTAATAGAATCAGGCGTTTATTGCGATAATATATTATCTACAGATGTTAAAAATTTATTAGCTAAGATCCACGTAATAAAATGAAATAATGTGTTTTATCTAGTATGAAGAGTAAGTCCCGCCCTCCCTCAATTGCGTGTACTGAATCCGTCACCACTGATCCCAACACCACTACACTAGGAAAGACAAACCACCGTCGATAATACCTATGACACGTTTCTCTAAACGAGGTATGCTCAGGTAAAGTACCTAGACTCTGCGGTAGCTGACCGCTGGGTCACTGAGACAGACTGAGAGGACTTTTAGATAGGGTATGTGGGGGTAATACGGTCACCTTAAGCTTAGCCACTCAATAAAACCAAAACTAGGAGAAGGACAGCGACAATAACACAAAGTCATAAACTATAACTAATATAACAGAAAAAGATAGCAAACAAGCCTTGAAAATAATTATGAAGAGCTATCGTATCACAAAGCCATCTATGTAAACAAGGCCGTATATAATAACCATATTACCCTCACCTAATATATAGCATATAAGATCTCTAAAAAATAGACTGTGACGCTATTCCTATTATAATATAGTCCTCTCACAATGCAAAGATTTGCCGTGTCGCCACTTAGTTAGGCGACTTGGGGCTTGCGGGACCAGGTGTCCCACACCTTGGGCATTACCCGTCTGTGTATTGTACATCTGGAATAGTTGGGATGGTATATCGCGGCCATTTATTGGAAGATAATTACATAATAGAATCAGGCGTCACTTTGCGGAAATCCATTATAATAAAAGCTGTTAGAACTTAATTTGCTTATTTCCGCTTAATGAATTGAACGGAAGTAAGCAAATAAAGTTGTAACAACTTTAATTTATGTGAAGTAGATGTAAATGCTTCATATATGCTATACATATAAATAAAACAGACACTTCAGTCTGTCCATAATATGACATTCACCAGCTTCTATTAAGCTCAAGCTCAAGGGGCTATTAGCATACTACTACGAGCACTGAATAGGGTTAAGTGCTCGTAGGCATACTATTAAGACATAAATACTATTTATAAAATGTTTGTCCGTCTGTTTGTCCGGGATAAACTTCGTAATGGCAAAACTGATTGCGATGAAGCTTTACGATCGGATAGAGAGCATTCCCAGGAAGGGTCTAGGCTATAATACTTTACCCAATAAGATTTTTTTTTCATTTTATTTATTTATTCAAGATTTTTTTTAATTTAAATAAATATTAATAATATAAAATGGTCTTTCAATATCTTGATACTAATTAAGCGGTACGTATAACTATATTTAACAGGACTCCATATAATATTACTATTCAAATTCCTATGGGTGACAGGCGTAAGTGTCTCCATATGTCTGTTTAAATTAGATTATTATTTAAAAATACAATATATAAAATACGAGTGAACGTCTTCAATTCCGTCTTCCATGGTGGCACTACTCTGGAGGCGTGGAGCAGAAGCGCGGTGGTCTTGTTCTTTAAGAAAGGCGACAACGCTCTCTTGAAAAACTACAGACCGATTTCCCTTCTGAGCCGCGTCTACGTGCTGTTTTCGAGAGTCATTACGAATCGTCCCGCACGCAGACTCGACGACTTCCAGCCTCCCGAACAAGCCGGTTTCCGAAAAGGCTTCAGTACCATAGACCACATACATACCCTGCGGCAGATTGTACAGAAGACTGAAGAGTACAATCTGCCACTTTGCCTGGCGTATGTGGACTATGAGAAAGCCTTTGATTCCGTCGAAATTTGGGCGGTGCTACAGTCCCTTCAGCGGTGCCAAGTTGACTGTCGGTATATCGAAGTGCTGAAGTGTTTGTACAGTAGGACTACGATGGCTATCCGAGTACAGAATCAGAGCTCGAAACCTATCCAACTGCAGAGAGGTGTAAGACAGGGTGACGTTATATCCCCGAAACTCTTCACCGCTGCATTGGAAGACGTTTTCATATCACTCACCTTCGATTTGCCGACGATATAGTCCTTATGGCAGAATCGCTGGAGGACCTTAGCACTATGCTAAATGACCTCAATGGTGTCTCCCAACGGATGGGTCTTAAAATGAACATGGACAAAACAAAAATCATGTTTAATGTCCATGTCTCACCTATGCCGGTAGTTGTTGGGAGCACTATGCTCGAAGTTGTTGACGAGTACGTTTACCTGGGACAAATAGTCCGACTAGGTAAGTCCAACTTCGACCGAGAGGTCAATCGACGGATTCAACTCGGCTGGGCAGCGTTCGGGAAATTACGACACATCTTCTCGTCAGGTATACCTCAATCTCTGAAAACTAAAGTGTACAACCAGTGCGTGTTGCCAGTGATGACTTACGGATCAGAGACGTGGTCCTTCACTGCTGGCCGTATGAGGACGCTCAAGGTCGCTCAGCGAGCTATGGAGAGGGCTATGCTCGGAGTTTCTCCTATCCTATCCTATGTTCAGCAGTGGACTTGTGAAGGGCCGTAATGATGATGATGATGATGAGTGAACGCAGGGAATAGAGTAAATGGGGCCCTACACTCTATTGTGGAAAGTCAGAATGTGTCAAAAAAGGCACGTATGGCAATTCACAATGCTGCGTTGATCCCTACTTTATTGTACGGTATTGAAAGTTGGGTGTGGCAGAAGAATCACGAGAGTTGAATAAACGCAGTAGAAATGCTGTCGTTTAGGAGTATGTTATGGCTGAATCTGAGTGACAGGGTGAGAAATTGTGTGATAAGAGAAGAATGTGGAAAATATATTATATTTTTTAAATTAATACCTTGGAATAAATACATGTCAAGGAAAAATGTCAGAGGATATCAGAAGCAGAAATAATAAATGTTGTTGAAACAGATACAAGTATTGTATGATTTTAGGAGAAAATTAGTGTTTTAGTGCGATATTACGAGAAGAAAAAATGGCAGTATTATGTTGGGAGTACAAGAGTATTTGAAAATAATGAACGATTGAAAAGTATTGCATTATAAGCATTAAGCACCATTTATACCAAAATAGAAGAAAACAGCATTGTGTTTTTTTTTTTTTGTTAAACAATGATGATGACGTTTTTTCTTCTACATTTAAATGAATAATACATTAATTCATAAGCTTTTATTCATCTAAAATAGCATACATAATACATGTACACCAAATCATTATGATTATATTATTATTTTATTTTGCACTTGGCATTGTTTTTATTATACTTACAAAATATCTAGAGCTAGTGTAGTAAATCTATCTAAAGGCACATCACTATATCGTTAAAAACAGTCACCCATGTCAGGAAAAATTCATTTTTACACAAAAACAAACATTCAAATCGTTTTCATAGATCATAAAATATATCGACGTTAATATCATCTCATCATTTTTGTCGAAAAGTATTTATATGTCGATTATAGTTTTAATTAATTTATGTCACAATTGCCCCAGGTGACCTAAGTTGTATAATGCGTAAAATAAAAGTGTCTTATGTTATATTAACTAACGAAACCATGTCGCGTATAATTTCGACTTTAGCGCTATCTATTAAGAAAACATGTAAGCTTCTTACAAACTAAGTTTTCTATTTGCTTAGATTATTGGACAAAAATTGTAATTACTTAAATTGCAATTTATTTTATATTCATTTGACAGGTATTATTAGTAACTCGTTTTCTTACATGTAGGTTAGGTCTAGCATCGCAACGTCAATCGCAACCCTCTGTGGCGGTCGGGTAAAAACAAATAAAGATAAGTAATAAGATATTGCGTCAACCATTTTCTTCAAATAAAACAAATTAATATATAAATATGAGTAATTGACGTTACCTGTACTGCCGGTACAGACTCCATCGAGCGATGGTGATGATCATGCTTCGGAGCCCTTCGTTCCAGGGCATAACTGCTCTGAGGTGGCGCACTGCGGACTGGAGAGCTGGCGACAGTAATATGCGAGACCGCCGTGACCGGCTTAAGCTGAGCTGTGCTCGGGGAGTCGGTTGATGTAGGTGCCGGGTCTTCATGGTTTGCTGTTGACAAGTTATAAAATCACATAGTACATTAAAGAGAAAGATATCATTAGTTTGAAAAGACAAATTCACAAAATACGCCACGAATATTATCCATGCAAGTGATGTACCCGTGTCGCGGCAGTGTAAGAATATCCACTACCGCGTATCGTCCCGTGGATGTCGTAAGAGGCGACATGAGGAAACTGAAGCAGGAGATGGGCAGCAGGCAGCAGCACCTTCCGCATAACAACTCAAAATAATAAAAACTGCGGTTGTCAACCCGTCTGCGAAGTGTGTTTTGAGGAAATCCATGGGGCGGGCCTTAGTTCAGCAGTGGACTTTAAAGGCTATGATGGCTGGGTGATTTAAGTGATGTAAAACATTTTTTCTTTAGATCTGACTCCTGAGCACAGGTGTCCCTGTATTCTTTAAATGGAATAGTCCAGGCAAATTCCAAAGCATTGCTTCAGTACAGGTTAGTTACAAAACTAGTTTCCGGACGCACTATACAAACGAGATTTGATCCCATTTTGTATATTAATAAACTATGAATTGTTTAATAATTAGCTCTATGGCAAATCTTATTTGCGTTTGAGTGGAATTTATTTTCAAAAAAACTTTGACTTTTCCGATTTTTAAATTAATTTTTAGTACCTATTTATTAAACGTTACCAACACACTATGATTTTCTCTTGTATCGTGGGGGAAGTTTACATACATAATTTCAAATGGACAAACATCCAGACCTGGAACAATTATTTGTAGACCATACAATTCCGTATGGGATTCGAATCCGCGATCTTCAACGCTGCAACATCATTGCTAAGCCAATGATGTTGCAGCGGAGCCGTCAAATTAGTAATTTTCACTTTAAAAAGATCCAAATTATTGCTGGCTTAAAAAAAACTAAATCAATTTTAGGATTATTTAGAAAAACCACATATAGGAAAAATAAAAAATATGCTATATTTAAAATATTGTTTACATATCTATTATTTTTATCGAATAATTATTCAATTACTGTCGCGTAATTAGTACTATAGTACGTTCTTTTAACTAAAAATTACAACCATGTTTGCATAGATGGCTTTGTGTTACAATAGCTCTTCATCAGTCAATCAAATAATATAGAATCAAAAGGGCACTGCTTTATCGACGTTATAGTAAATATTTTAGTCGTTTTTAGTATTGTTTAACGTAGTTAATTTTTTAAGTAGATTTTTCCAAGTATTCCTAAATATTGCCAAAGCTTGTTTGCTTTTTTTCTTAATATTTTAGTCATAGTACGCGACTTTGTGTTTTTGTCTATCATCTTCACAGTTTTTGTTTTTGTAAGGCGGCAATGATTAAAGTGGAAATATTATTCTCACGTGCCTTACATGACTTATCATAAACTCTCATGATTGTTAGCCAGATGGGTAGGCAGTAGGCACAGTCTACGGATCGCCATTTGACAAGATCCTGACACACGTCTCTCGCCTCCTTTACATCTATGTGCATACTTACGCATATCGCATGCATGTCGGTTAAAGTCACTTTTAATTTGGATCATCTAATCATATAACCAATTTGGTCGATAAACTTCATAAATTTGCTTTGTCACTCTTTCCTCATACATTCTTCCTGCGTGTCCAAATCACCGCAGCATTCCTTTCTTAAATCCTAATCACAACATTTTCTTGCAGACCACACTTTTCTCTTATCACACAATTTCTCATCCTGTCTTTCAGAGTGAGCCATAACATAAGTCGGAGCCATATTTGGTGTTAATAAATAATATTACGAAATCAAATGACGAAGCAATGTTGGCATCTACGACTTTTTCTGTCACCAGGGCGGCAACACATAGGCAAAATATTTGACAGATTTGATAGTGGAAGAAGATAATTTGACCTCACCAAATAGTTTATAAAATACCGTAGGTTTTCTATAGTATTTGATGTCACTGTGTTACCATTTGCGTGACAAAAGAGCTCGGCTAAGTCCTGACTACTACATCTGATGTGCGTGATATATATTTCCTCATTACTGTCCTTTATATACCTATATAAACTAAAAAGATATACTTAAAATAATAAATAAGTACTAAAAATAATTACGAATCTATTTAAAAAAATTAATAAGAAGAATATACTAATATTTTTATTTATATAAAAATTAAATTATCTAAACAAAAGCAAATTAAATGCAAAATGAAATTTCTAATTGAATGTTATTCTAATATTACAATAATGCATGTACTTAAAGCTAATAAAATGAATTTCTAACAAATTTATTAAGTGTATATAATGAAGAGTAAAAGGCTATTTTATTTATTTTATTACTGTATTTGATAAGTGAATACTCTGTGAGTTTTCCCTGAAATTTTAAAACTCTTGTTTGACCACTTTTGATTGGCCAAGCGGCCAACTAATGCGCGACTAAGGCAGTAATGGAATGTGATAATTAACATCTAATTAATCTTCACAGCAGGACCATAAATTATTAACAGTCTATTAAATTATAGAGTTTAATTCAATTAATTTGCTTTAAATGCCTACAACGAAGTCCGGGTTTTCCGTGTGCTCTCCAGTTCAATCTGTTTCAATAAGTCGAAAGACTATCATAGCTTTTAATTCATAAGCATTTAATTCATGTACTTTCTTGTAATGCGTAATTATTGTGCAATTTCGCCAATTTCTTTCATGTGGTAGAACTATGCTGAAGCTTATTATGGTTGTACCACGAATGTGGTAGGACAACGCCCTCACAGAATACCAGCGAAAATACCAGCTCAATTCTGCATTATTTCGTATGGTAAGTGTAGAGAACTGGAGACCCTTTTTAATGGAAACTAGGCATTCCATCTTAGTTCTCAGAGGTGACAACGCATCTGCATTTTGATACCTAATCGAGGATAGACGTAGATGTCTATGGACCACAGCATCCACTTACCATCAGGTGTGTGCTACTTTTCACCCATATTCTATATAAAAAAATCTAAACGTATACTAATTACACTAGCAACTTTAAGGATCAGCTTCGGTATTCATAAATAAGTTTTATGTATGTATATGTTTTCTATAATATTACGAGTTAACAATCTACCAGGTACCAGGTTCTGAGAAGCTACTGACGCCCATGCACAATTCAAAAAGAGGACCCAATTGAAAACTAAGATGAAATGCGACACAGCGTGAAATAATGGCTCGTTCATTTTTCGAACTAGAAGAAAGTAGTAGGTACATAGCAAGTCGACTGCAGAAGTTGGTAAGTAGGTGTTATCAAGCTAGACATACTCGTAGGAAACAAGTAGTAAAGTTAAAAATTTTGTACAACTGACTTCAATACAAATAAAATGAGAACATCATCAATGTAGTCGCAGTCAATTAAATACGCCTTATGAAGAACAACTCAAAAACTACATAGATTTTGATAAAATTTATATGGAACCAGCACCAGCTTTTAAATAAAAAAAGAATCATCAAAATTGTTTCAACTGGAAAAAAGGTATAAGGCAACTAATAACTAACACATATAAAAATACAGTCGAATTGAGTACCTCTACTTTTTTGAAGTTAGTAAAAAATGTAGTGCATATTAAAGGAATTACCAGAAAAAAAACTACTGTAATAGATATCATCATCATAATCACAACCGTTATATTATATCATTACAAGTAGTGCAAAACACGGTCCTAAACCATCTGCATCCATCGATAAGAGAATAAGAGATGTCTTAGGGAAATGTAATGTAAATATTAAATCAACCTCAACATTGTACACTAGGGTTTTAACCTAATTATAATATATAAAGTTCTAAAAAAGGATTATCTTTTGATCTTGTAACCCTCCGACAGATAACGGAACAATGGAGTTAAAATAGTTATATAAGTGTAAAAGGTTTTGAGGTCGGTTAAAATTAATGTTCAAATTAACTTCGTTAGCTACAACTCGATTCCAGTTAAAGTCGTCGGAATTTGAGATTGAGTAGAACAGCAAATAGATACGATTCAACGGAATCGGATCGTATCTTGATCGAGTCGCTCGTAAGATCGCAATTTGTTATGGCTGTGTGACCATTTGAGGGCATCCCTGACCGCCGGAATGTTTAAATGCGGAAGGTCGTTGACCATGCCTAATTCGCCTACTAATCAGTAGTATATATTAGGGATGGGCCGAATATGGATTTCATCGAATACGAATATTCGGCCGAACGTTCGGTAAAAATTTTACCGAACCGAATATTCGGCCGAACATTATTCGGCAGGATAACAGCGGTACCTAACCAATTTATGTCGAAACTTGTTACTGTAAAGCGCGCGGGATTACCGCCAGAGCCTTCCCTCGCTCCCCGCCTCACCTGACATGTTATTGATTGTTATTGATGATTCCAAACAAAATTTTATAAAGCTTTCTATTTGCTATAATTGGAAATAAGTCTACAGTGCCTCAAAAACATATCGTTATACAAGTAGATTTAACCCATAAATAAATAGGTATACTTTCAACAGTAAAATGATGAAAGACATGGCATTACTCAATTCGTACATTTCCACACAGTGTATACTTTGAGTACCACTTTAACGAATATTCGGTGATTTAGCCGAATATTTGGCCGAATATGAATATTCGGTAAATCTGCCGAATATGCCGAATACCGAATATAAAACGAATATTCGGCCCACCTCTAGTATATATGTAGTGTTTAAAATCTATAGTGGCTCAAATATGTTGGATTTTCTTTCTTGTTCATAATATAATATCAATTACTTTTTTATTTTTTGGGAGACAAACTTGTTCGTGTCTTGGAATTTTTTCTGAACTTCTTTCGTTATTCGTCTAACCTTAGACGCTTCCCTCTTCTAATTCTAATATATATTATAAGCAACCGATAAGATTGAAGTACTTGTATTTGAATTTTATTACTATGTATTTTTTATTTAAACCACCGCACCGGTTGCAGTCATATAATATGTTGGTGAACGCCTGAGTCAAGCCCAGTTTCCACTATGAGATATAATATAATTTATATTACAT